CACCCCCTTCCTCTAGCACTGATGCTGTTCCCTAGTTGGCTCACGAGAGGTCTGCAAGAGAACCGCTCATGCTCAGAGAGCCCCCCCCTCACGAGGACCCCACAATTCTTTTCTTCCTCCTCCAGATTCCCAACGTGCCAGGCATCGCCACCAGCCTTGTACGTTTCTGGCTTTTCTGGCGTTATCCCACCGAAAAGGACACAAATTACAAGCTTCTCCAGGCCTGAAGACGGGAAGGGAGCGGAGAAGATCTCCACAGCCAGCCGAGAGAGAAAAAATCGTGCTGATGTTGGATTGCCCAACTCGCCTGTGGCACACAGCCTACCCACCTCTGTCCAGCATGGGGGTTTATTTCCATCTGGACGGACTAAATGCCACTCCGGGCTACTCCCGTGCATTTTGCAGTGGGAGGGAATGTGAACTCCCGGGGGGGGGGGGGAACAGATCCCGAACAAGGTGAACGGGATTCTCTCGCTGGCCTCTTTAAAAGAGGTTTGCAGACCCTAAGTCTGGGGAATGTAGAGGTGCTTCCCCACCAGATATTTTTGGGGGAGGGGGCAGAAAGCTGTCGGGAAAAACATTGGAGGGTTTTAAAGACTGAGCTTCCGAAATCTGTCATTTCTCTCTCTCTCCTTCGAGGACTTGATTCAGACTGCCAAAGTTGCCTTATCCGTCCACCAGAAATGCCTTTTTTTACATAAAAATTCTCTCCCTCCTCCTTTACTCCCGCTTCCAATTTTTTTATTTCATTCAGAAGATTAAAAGACCAAGTCCAAAAGGAAAAAAAAATCAGGGACAAAACAAGATGATTAAAAAAATGTGAATTAAAAAAGGACAAAATGCCTTTTTTTTTAAAAAAAAAATCTCCCTCTTTCAATCCATCGGGTTCTCTTCTAAGTGGGAGATCTCCCTGAGGTCTTGACCTGTGGAACATCGGGCCAATGGAAGAGGAGAGCCCCAGGCGAAACATTTCACGGATGTAGCTTTATGAGTGCCTTGCAATAAACAGGAGAGAGAGGATGGGACTCAATCTTGCTTTCAAGAGTTGCTTTTTTTATCTCCCCAGAGCAAAAATCAAGAGTTGAGATGGTTAAATAATAATAATAATAATAATAATAATAATAATAATAATAATGATGATGATGGAACTTACAACACAAAAAGGAGAGTTTGTTTGGCTGTCCGCTGAGTGGATTCCTGCCCGGAGTGGGTGGGTGGGTGGGTGGAGGGCTACATGATCCCAGTGTTCTCTTTCATTCGAGGATTCTGTATAGTGGGTTCCTCCTGGGAAGGGGGGTTGGACTAGATGACCTCCAAGGTGCCTTCCAGTGTGGGATTCCATCTAGTGGATCCCAGCATTTGAAAGGGACTGAGGTGATGCTCTCTAAAATCACTTCTAAAGGTTTCTTGACGTAGATTCTTCCTTAGAAGCTTGAGAATCTCCAAGCTGTCCCCGCAACCCTCCGATTCTAGGATTCCCTGCATTGGGACGGGGTCAGTCTAGATCAGGGGTAGGCAACCTTGGCTCTTTTATGACTCGTGGACTTCAACTCCCGGAATTCCTGAGCCAGCATAGCTGGCTCAGGAATTCTGGGAGTTGAAGTCCACGAGTCATAAAAGAGCCAAGGTTGCCTACCCCTGGTCTAGAAGGTCTCCCGGAGCCCTTCCGAACCTTTTTGATTCTTTTCATCCGTGCAACAAACAGGTTTAACTTTTCCCCCATCAGCTACACAAAGGCACCCTTTGCAGAACAGGGAGGAAAATGTGCAATTTTATGAACAACCGTAATGTTTGTGTTCCCAAGTCCTGTTGGACCAGAACGCCAGGGAAACCGAGTCACGCCTTCCTGTCCTTGAAGCCACCGGTCTCTCCGGAAAGGGCTAATTATTTGCCTCTCTAATTAACAGTGTCTTTGCGCTGCCCCCGCCAACTTGGAAGGTGTGTGAGTTAAATAAACCCCAAAAAATCTAGAATATCCTGGGTTGTTGGGGTTTTTTTTTTGGAGAAAGGAACAGCCCAAATGATTATTACCATTGCGCTTGGATTGTAGACACAATTTATCTGGCACACCCAAACGACGTTAACTCGCCATGTGTGTTAAGACTACAAAAATGCAGAGCGTGAAGGGAAAATGAAGGCATTAATATTTATGAAGAATTAATAGTTTGGGCAGACAACCGAAGGAGAAAAAAAAACACAATACAGGTAGTTTTTGACTTAAAAGGATTCATTTCGTGACCGTTCAAAATTACTACGGTCCTGAAGAAAAATATGCTTTTAATATGATTCAAACACAGGGCAGATCCCCGTGAATTGAGCGACACCCCCAGTGCTAAATGGAAGATTTTAATTTCCTTCCCTTGTTCATTTGTCTGGTTTGCTCAAGGTCCTGAAACATCAGCTAAAACAGAGACAACAGTCTAGTGGGTGCATGCAAAAAAGGTTTTCTCTCCCTGGAGGTGCGTACGTGTGTCTCTTTTGCATATATACTGTATATATGCAAACCTACTCGCCACTTTGGCACCTGCCTTGCAAACTAAGCCTCTAGAATAGTATAGCCAGCAATTCCCTCCATTGTGGGATTTCCTACTTCCCGTCAGATCCCACCTGCCAACGCTCCAGAAATGAAAATTCAATTTAATTGCGGAAGAGAAGCAGAAAAGAAAATTCTTGATCAGCTCTACACTCCTTCTTTGTCGCCATATTTCGGTCTGTCTGGCTCCTTTCCCGAAAAGCTCTTTTTCTGACTTGGGAGAAGAAGCAGTTTTTTTAAAAAAAAATGTGGATTGTTGTTCTTCCTCTATTCCTTCCTTGCCTCCTTCACTTTCATTATCAATCCTGTTTGTACCTCCCTTCCTTCGCTCCCTCCCTCTTGTGTTTATCTATTTCCTTTCCTTGTCTGTTTGTCTATTTCCTTCCTTCCCTCCCTCATTTGTTTATCTAGTTATTTCCTTCCTTCCCTTCCATACCTCCTCCATTCATTATCAATCATTTTCTCCTTCCCTCCCTCCCTCTTGTCTGTTTATCTATTTCCTTCCCTCGTTTGTTTATCTAGTTATTTCCTTCCCTCCCTTCCATGCCTCCTCCATTCATTATCAATCATTTTCTCCTTCCTTCCTTCTTTCCTTCCTTCCCTTCCTCCCTCTTGTCTGTTTATCTATTTCCTTTCCTTGTCTGTTTATCTAGCTATCTATTATTCCTTCCTTGTCTCCGTCTGTTTATCTAATTATTTCCTTCCTTCCTTCCCTTCCATGTCTTCCTTGCCTCCATTATCAACCGTTTTCTCCTTCCTTCCTTCCTTCCTCCCTCCCTCCCTCCCTCATTCTCTGCATTATTTTCCTACATTTCTTATTTTTCTATTTTCACTGATTCAGATGCCGGATTACTTTTTGCTACCGTTCAGAGTTTTAATAAAAAAAAATTTTTTTTTTTTAAAAAGAAGCAGCTCTTTTTCTTAGATGGATTCTCCCACCAGGCCACAGCCCAAACAGTTCCGTCCTATGCCGCCCGTCGTTTATCGTCCATGGGTCATTTCTGTTCTCGCAAGAGCCCCGGGTTCAAAACTTCATGCCGCGGCGGGCGAGGTCGGCTCGGGCCTCTCGGATTTGCGCCTGTAGCTCCAGCGAGGCCTCTTGGCAGTCGTTGAAGGTAGCCAGGCGGTAGCCCACGACTCCCAGTGAGTAGCAGCCGAATGTCACCAACAGGTAGATCGGCAAGGGCCACAGCACCTGGTGCCAGCTTGGGGATAAGGGGTGCTGCCCCACGAGATCCAGCATCAACGCAGCCCAGATGCCACCCAGAATGGCCAGAGAGCCGAGCCACTGAAGCAGCTTCGTCATGATCCTGAAAAACCGCAGGGGAAAAAAGAAAAAGAAAACCATGGTGAAAACAGAGAGATTCGCAAGCATCTGCCTGGCTCAGTATATTTCAGGACATCCTCTGCCCAAATTTTAAGGATTTTCTTTGCAAGTACATGCAGAATCTTTTGTTTTTTGTTTTTCTTCTGCAAAGGGGGAATGCCACAGCCTGTCCCTGCAATGCCCTCCTCTTCTCCCCACCCCTCAAAAAAAAAAAATCTGGAATCCACTTTAAAGCATTAGAAATATGTCAGCTTTTCAGACAAAGTAGGACTACAAGCCCCATGAAGTCTGTTGCCATTTGGCCAGGCAGATGGGAACTGGAGTCCAGCCTCCGAAGGGCCAGGAACTTATACCCAGACAGAAAAGTTTGCAATTTTTTTTCCAGGGCTTTTTAATCAATCCATCAAACAAACAATCAATCAGAATA